ACAAATAGTGTTCCAATTTGAAGGCTTGGAAACGGCAATTTTCAGACTCAAATCAAGCTAAGTATTTCTTCCATTCATTCCCTGCTCCCCTTTGTTCACATTATCACAGCCACTGTATTCTCCATGTATCTATCACTTTTGCCAAACTACAGTAAGGCCCTGTGGGGACACATAGGCAGGCCCATACATACACCGCACAGCATCTAATGAAATATGTTTTACATAGGTATTCAACAGCAGCACTGGGATAAAAGCACTGCGACTGGGGCCAGTCTACCTGTGTTCAAATCTAGAATCCACCATTGGCTAGCCGTGTGACCCTGAGCAAGTTACTTAACCTCTCTGTGCCTCAATTTCCTCATTGATAATGTGAGAATAATAATAGCACCTACTCATTGGGCTGCTGTAGAAAATGCGCTTGATTTATATAAAGTGAAAAGAACAGTGCTTGATTTATATAAGCACCATATAAGCGTATGCCATATAAAATGTGGACTTACATATTCTCAGTTTGAAAAAACACCCAAATTGCTTTAAGTATGCACAAGACTTGCACACTGAAAATTAGAAAACATTGCTTAAAGAGCTAAATAAATGGAAGATACATGTTCATGGATCAGAAGATTCAATATTGCTAAGATACCTTCTTCTGTAGAAGCTGATCTGTATTCTCAATGTAATGCCAATCAAAATCTGGGTAGGTATGTCTGTAGAATTTATCAAACTAATTCTAAACTTTACACAAAAATGCAAACAATCTAAAACAATCAAAACAATTTTTTAATTTTTTATTGTTATGTTAATCACCATACATTACATCATTAGTTTTGGATGTAGTGTTCCATGATTCATTGTTTGTGCATAACACCCAGTGCTCCACGCAGAACGTGCCCTCTTTAATACCCATTACCAGGCTAACCATCCCCCCACCCCCCTCCCCCTAGAACCCTCAGTTTGTTTTTCAGAGTCCATCGTCTCTCATGGTTGGTCTCCCCCTCTGAAAAACAATTTTGAGAAAGAGAACCGAATTTCAAGATGTTAGTATAAAGCTACAGCAAACAAGGCTGCATGCCATCAAGAAAAATGAAAGCAAATGTCTCTACAAAGACTTCTATACAAACGTTCATGATAACTATATTCATATTAGCCAAAAATCAGAAACAATCCAAGTGCTCATTAACAGAATGGATTAACTGTAGTATAACCAAAGAAATACTGGTCAGCAATAAAAGAGAATAAAAACACACAACAACATAGATGAATCTCAAGTAATCATGCTAAGAATGCAGACCAAAAAACAAAAGTGCATACTGTATGATTCCATTTATATCAAATTCTAGAAAATACAACCTAATCTACAGTGACAGAAAACTGACCTGGGGTTGCCGCGGAATAGGGGGTAGGGAGGGGGAACTGAATGCCAAGAAGCATGAGGGAACTTCTGCAGTGAGGACCAGGGCAGTGGTTACACAACTATACACATTTGCCACAACTCGTCAAACTGTACACTTAAAATTGATGAGCTTGGTTGTACATAAAGTATAAACAAAATATAGTCATAAGGCAACACTGCCATTTAAAAATTAAAGCATACAGGCGCGCCTGGGTGGCTCAGTCGGTTAAGCGTCTGCCTTCGGCTCAGGTCATGATCCCAGGGTCATGGGATCGAGCCCCGCATCAGGCTCCCTGCTCAGCAGGAAGCCTGCTTCTCCCTCTCCCACTCCCCCTGCTTGTGTTCCTGCTGTCGCGCTCTCTCTCTCTGTCAAATAAATAAATAAAATCTTAAAAAAAATAATAATAATGAAGCTCTCCTTGTCCTTTAAAAAAAATAAAAATAAAAACTAAAGCATACCTTTTGCTTTCCATATTCATGGAAAGTATACAGGCAAGAATTACCATTCACTTAATGTTGTTGAGAAATCTATATTACAAGTTTTGTAAATGTAGCATGATGAAACAACCAAAAACACTGCTAATGGCTCTTTTATATCTGCATCTTCTTTAATTAAGAATTAAAGGAAATCTATAAAAGAATTTTCCAATTCTTAATAGAAATACTTACTCTAGATAAAAATTCATAAACAACACAGAATTTAACTAGGAAATCTGTTAGCATGCCTGTAACTGGCCATAAGGTTATCCAAGCCTGCTAGGTTCCAAAGAACTGCAAAACAAAATATCGAGTTTTTAAAAGATGAGAGTGCTCTTATGCTAGCTAAAATTTAACAATGGTACTTCCCATGATTCTAATTCTACTTCTGCATAAAGAACGCTGTAAAGGTCAAGAATATAGGGACTATTCCTTAAGGCTAGAAGTAAATTAGTAGTAGGAAACACTGAGAAGACATCCCTAACCTTTATCTCATGAAGTTCTCTCAGGGGAGCGCTACTTACTTGCTTAATTCTCCTGAGGAAAGATGTTTTTCTCCTCAAGTCTCAAAAAATAATAAATATTTTACTAGTTTTGTAATAGTAAGCATAGTTATTTTTTAAAAGTATATCTCCATGTTGACCCTCAAGCCTTAAAATTAAAAAAACAGGGGCGCCTGGGTGGTTCAGTTGTTAAGCATCTGCCTTCGCCTCGGGTCACGATCCCAGGGTCCTGGGATCGAGCCCCACATCGGGCTCCCTGCTCGGCGGGAAGTCTGCTTCTCCCTCTCCCACTCCCCCTGCTTGTGTTCCCTCTCTCGCTGTGTCTCTCTCTGTCAAATAAATAAATAAACAAAGTATTTTTTAAAAAATTTAAAAGAACAAACCCTGTAACAGAAACAAAAAATGAGGAAATAGCCATTTACAAGGAGAAAAAAAGACAGTGTAAGCAACTTCCTAGTTCAAATAACCACAGCAATATGTAGCATGCATATTATATAACTTTGGTTACTTCTAAGGCAATGTGCTACTTCATGTTCTAATTTACATTGTCATAAGTTAACTGTTGTCATAAAAATTAGTTCACAGCTTAAGAAAAGATATTTGAGATGTAAATTAGGTTAACCTTTCCTTCTAAGAAGTAAGACTATAAGTAATAATCATGCTCAGCGTTTCCTATTCAAGATCCGCACACATGCACACCTTCAGGCCTTTATAGGCTCTATTCCTCCCATTCATCCTTCTATCTACAATGCCCTCTCCTTTTATACCACCTGTCTGGATTCTTGCCATCTTTCACCATTTATCTTATCCCTGATCCTGTGAGCCAGAGTTATCTCCCTGTCTTCTGAAATCCCATAGCTCTTTTCTGTCTTACAACATTTAACATTTTCATCTTGTACTACACTTCTTTAAGCCTCTCTTCTACTGGGAGCATCCTTGAAAGAAAGGTACATGCTTTCTTCAGCCTTGTATTCCTCATAGCACTTAGTGCCTGGAACTAAACATTTATTGGGTGTGCTGCCTAGAATGGGAAGGAAAACATTCAACAATATTTTTTTCAACACTGTGTGCCATACATTGTCGTAGGTGATATAAAAGGAAACAAATACCAATGATAGAGACCTACTGTAAATCTACTAAGAGACACAGACATGTAAATAGATTAAGCATAAGGGATGAATTAGGGTGCTATGAAGGGAACACTATGTATATTGAAGATTGTTCTAATTCCATAAAAAATATTAGGAAACTAAGTCTAGATTTTTAAGGGCCCAATAACTAGAAAGGTTTCAAGAGTGGTATAATAAGGGTCCCTTAATTGTAATCTGAAAAAATTTCTTAATCTGAAACTAACATCGCCACCTATGTAACAACCTTACTTGCATAGCAGGGGGAGTAACAAATTTCACTCAATTCTCTGTATAACCCTCTGAGATAACAAGGCCTGGTCTTATCTTTAAACAAATTTGCTCCTCCTATCTTCTCACATGACTGAATTGTGGGCCATTTCCATAAAACATGTACCACTTTCATGCCCCAAATCCTGTTTATCTAAATATACCTAACCTTTAAGGTTCTTCTCAAATTCTTCCTGAGCTCTCCAACACACAGGATTATGCCATCCTCCAAATGTATGTTGCACTATTACTACTATCTGTACCTCTCTTTTTTAACAACTAATGACAATGATAAAATTAATTCTTAACTTTTTATATAACTTGGAGTTAAGCAGAACTGGTCTCAAATCCTAAATGTGCACCTGCCTTATGATGTAAAGTTAGTCAAGTTATGAAACTTCCTTGAACCTCAGTTTCTTCATCATTAAAATTAGGATTCAGTTGGGTAATAACGTACAACATGCCTAATATACACACATACTCATACAAACATACGTTACAAACATTCCGACTTATTTTTGTTATTCTTTTCCAAGAAGGGAGATGCAAACTCTCTTTAAAACTCAAGGCAAAAGCAATAAAACATGAACAAAGTGGGTACTAAAAACTGGTTAGTTGATGTAAAGGAGCCTCACACCTTTTAAATATGCCCTCAAAACAACTCACACAAGACACTCCCAGTAGAATTTCTCCTATGTCTCCTACTACTGCAAATTATGAAAATCTCAGGCAAAAAGACACAGCCAAACACAGAGGGCCTAGGCTGGTGACATCCTTCTCAAGAGTGTCTGCCTCACTACAAACCTGACACTGTATAAATGATCAAGGAAAGAAATATCGTTTATTACATAAATCAAATAATACATAAATTAGTTTTTCGATCTACACTATCCCGGCGAAGCAAGCAAAACCATTTCTGCTGATTTCAGCCTAAGAGAAAGTACTACTGGGATAGGGTCTGAATCATCAATTTAAAACCATCAACGCCTGCCCCACCCTGGAATGAAGGCACTACCGCGACCTTCTATATAGCACAGTCTCCAGCATTCAGCACTCAGCCCCTACCCCAGTCTTCCAGAAGTCCCCACCTCCGACGCATGTCTGGCACTGGACGCACCCAGTCCCACCCCAAGCTCTGACCCAGGGTCATGTACCCCTACACCAGGGTCCATACCCTAGTCCCTCACGCCCCAACTCTGGGTTCTACGCCCGACCGACACCGATACTCACCCGGGCGGTGACCTTATACACCGTGTAGCCCCTTGGATGTCGCTGGGGCTCGGTGACAGTGTAGAAACGGGCCAGGTCGGCACCCCGCTCCCGGGGAGAGGTCATCCTCCCGCCGCCTCTGCCGCCGCCGCCGGGCGGGGACCATCAGGGCAACCCGGCGCCGCCGCGGTCCGGGATCCCCAAACACCAGCGAAGCGGCGAGGGGGCGGTGGCTCCACGGCGGCCCTTCGCTGTGCGGCTCTGCTTCCGGCTCGGCAGAGAAGCTTCCGGGTCAGGCCGCTGCCGGCGACCAGGGGGAGGGGAGACTCCACGCTAGAAGCTGACCCCCGTCCCGGCGTGGGCCTGGCAAATGGACAAGGATCAAGTGGTGGCACGGCACTCTCGTCACTGCGGAAGCTGAGACTACTCCACTAAGTCTCTGTGCGCTAGCTCCGACACCTTCTAGATGTTATGAGCGCTGTTGGAGCCAAGACACACAGGTGAGACCTCGGTGCTCCACGCGCGCGCCCAGCCCAGCCCGTGTACAAACTTATATGGAGTCGTGAAGGGTGGCATCTTCTTTCCTTCCTTACTCACGGCCTATCATTTTAAATACCCACAGCAACATCTGAACCCTGGCAGACATAACCGTTCCTTCTTTCTAAGACAAATCCCGTCCACCTGTGCACCTGCCTTTCGACCTCCACAACAGCCCTCAACCCTGTATCAGTCTTAAAATTCATCCCCTCGGATTCTAAAAGCTGGAACCTGCGTCTAACTGGGGAAAAATAAAAAAATCACACGACCTCTGAAAGCTGCTATGAAGAGAGAGTTTCCCATTCAGTTGGTTGCTATTCCGTGTTTGGCAATTCCTTTACCTCTCCTTGATCAGTAATTTCACATTTCCCATAACATTCGTTCCAAGCCTTTGCCATTTTCCCCAGTTCTCTGTTCCTCTTAGTGTTGCCCCTCGACCGTTTGTCCCCGCCCTTCTTTGAGGTGAAGGAGGGAGGAGCCCTTAGTACAAACACCTTCATCTCATATACCTATTCTGATATGAGATGTAGACATATCCCTTCCTCATTTTCTAAAACTGATCACTCTGCCTGTGTGCTGAAACTCATCCCCTTTGGCAGATCTAAAGACATTGTTCCATCAGGGACATCTAAACTCTGCTCTCGGTACCTTTAAGCTCTTCCTCACCACTGACTCCTTCTTCCCAACCTGCATATGCCTGAATCTATCATTCATTTATGAAACCTGATTTCACATACTTTGTGCCAGACATCATGCTAATTAGGCATTGGAGTTACAAAGAGAGTCCCTGCTGTCAAGTACTATCTAGTAGGAAAAAAACAATAATTAAAACGTACTGTTACAAGTACCATGACAAACGTATTTATGGAGTGCTGTAGAGTGCATCATATTCAGAATGGAGGGTTTTCTGATAGAAGGGAAACTATGTTTGACTTTTGAAAGAGAGATAGAAATTACCAGGCTGAGTTGAGGGTAAAGGACATCATCACAGTTGCCTTTTTTCCTCCTCCTTCCTTTCTCCTTCTCCTCGTTGTCAAGATTGCCCTATTTTTTTTTTTTTAAAGTAATCTACCTCAGGGGTGCCTGGGTGGCTCAATTGGTTAAGCATTTGACTTCAGCTCAGGTCATGATCTCAGGGTACTGGGATCAAGCCCTGCATCAGGTTTTGCAGTCAGCAGGGAGTCTGCTTGTCCCTCTCCCCTTGCCCCTTCCCGCTCATGCTTACTCTCTCTCTCTCTCAAATAAATACATTAGAAATCTTTTTAAAAATAATCTGCATCAGTATTCACACATTTATACATTCATGAATATCATACATTCATTACCATACTCACTTCAATCTGCCTTCACTACTATACTCCTACTATGAAACTACTTTGAAAACATTTCTAATGACCAATATTTTCAGAATTTGAACATTTCTGACCATTTCCATCTTTTCAGAACTCCTCTATGTCCTTAGTATATGAGTCAGCATTCTCTTTGCTTTTTATTTTACACTCTGAATCATTCACTCCTTTTCAGTCTCCTTTGCTGATTTCTCCTCCTTTTAGGAAGATTTAGTGTTCCTTCTGTTCAGGATTTTGCCTTTGATCCTTTTTTCTTTATTCCCATTGACTTACAAATCTATATCCCCAGGCATATCTCTCTTCTAGAATTTGACTCATGTTACCTACATCTTTACCTATATGTCCAATTACCACTGAAAACAGAACAGATTAAAATCTGAACTTTTATTTTCCTCATGAGCCTGTTCCTATCTCAATGACTGATTTTATTCTCCACTTAGTTACATTAGCCAAGTATCTGGGAATCATGCTTAGCAACTTTCTCTCCCACTTTCTCCAAATTTGTTTGATTCAGCAACTGCCATTGATTAAAGCTAAAAAAATGGAACAAGATATACCATGAAAACACTACTCATAAGACTTACCAAGAAAAGAGAGATAAGACTTAATAACAAAGAGTTCAATGAATTAAGAAGGTATAACAATTTTAAATGTGCATGTGCCTAATAACAACTTAAAAGTGTAAAAAACAAAAGCCATTGTTCTGTCTGTTCTACAGTAATTAATAAAACAAGTAGACAAATAAATTAGTAAGGATTTGAAGACCTGAAAAGTCTATCAGCCAACTCCACCTGATTGACATTTACAGAACACTCCACTCAATAGTGGCAGAAAATATTTGTTTCAAGTGCACACAAGACATTCATCAAGTCAGAACATATCCTGGGCTATAAAATAAATGTCACAAATTTTAAAAGACCACTATAAGTCATATGCGCTCTGTGGCCTCTGGGAATTAAATAAAAGCTAATAACAGAAAAGTACCTGTAAAATTCATGAATTCTTAGAAAGTAAATAACATAATTCTAAAAACCCATGGGTTAAAACCCATGACAACAGACCTTTAAAAATATTTGGAATTGAATGAAAATTGGAACATAACATACCAGAAAATTTGTGGGACACAGCTAAAACAGTGTTTAGAGGTAAATTTATAGCCCTTAAAAGCCTATAGTAGAAAAGAAGAAAGGTCATGAATCAATGATCTAAGCTTCCACCCTAAGAAATTTTAAAAAGATGATTAATGTAAACCCAAAAATAGCATAAGGAAGAAAAAAATAGAGAAGAAGAACTCTAAAATAGAAAAGAGAAAGGCAATGGTGAACAATCAATAAAACCAAAATCTGATTCTTTAGGGGAAAAGTCTAGAAAATTTATAAACTTCTAGCCAAAGGGCTCAAGAAAAAAGAAAAACGGGGGCACCTGGGTGGCTCAGTCGGTTAAGCATCTGTCTTCAGCTCAGGTCATGATCCCAGGGTTCTGGGATCGAGCCCCACACCGGACTCTCTGCTCAGCGGGGAGCCTGCTTCTCCCTCTCCCTCTACCTACAGCTCCCTCTGCTTATGCTCTCTCTCTCTCTCTGTCAAATAAATAAATAAAAATCTTTTTAAAAAAAAGAGAAAAAAGACAAAACAAATTATAGGTATCAAGAATGAAAAAAAATACATCACAACATATCCTATAGTCAATAAAGGAAAATGATTTATGTAAACAGCTATATGCTAATAAATTTGATGACTTATATGAAATGAATGAATTTATTAAAAGACACAAACCACCAAAGTCCATTAAAGAATAAAAAGAGAGGGGCGCCTGGGTGGCTCAGTCATTAAGTGTCCGCCTTTGGCTCAGGTCATGGCTCCAGGGTCCTGGGATAGAGCCCCGCATCAGGCTCCCTGCTGAACGGGAAGCCTGCTTCTCCCTCTCCCTCTCCCCCTGCTTGTGTTTCCTCTCCCTCTCCCCCTGCTTGTGTTCCCTCTCTTGCTGTCTCTCGCTCTGTCAAATAAATAAATAAAATTTTTAAAAAAAGAATAAGAAGATAACTTGAATAGCCCTATCTCTATCAAAGAACTTGAATTCTTCATTCAAAACAAAGAAAACTCCAAGCCAAATTAACTTAAGTGGTGAATTCTACTAAGCATTTAAGGAAAAGAGAATATCAATTCTACCAAAACTCATCCAAAAATAGGACAGGGAACATTTACCACTTATTTTGTGAAGTCAGCTTTACCCTGAAACAAAAACATTTCAAAAAGAATACTATAGGGGCACGTGGATGGCTCAGTCAGTTAAATGTCTGCCTTCAGCTCAGGTCATGATCCCAGGGTCCTGAGATTGAGTCCCGCATCAGGCTCCTTGCTTGGCGGGGAGCCTGCTTCTCCCTCTGTCTTTTGCTCCCCCTGCTTGTGTTCTCTCTCTTTCTCTGACAAATGGATAAATAAAATCTTAAAAAAAAAAATTAAGGTATATAGTTAGAAAAGGAAGAAATAAATCTGCCTTTATTTGCAAAGGCCATGATCGCTACATAGAAAATCCTGAGGAATCCACAAAAAACTAATAGAACTAATAAGTAAAGTTAGCAAAATCACAGGATTCAAAGTTAATACAGGAAAAGTCATTTATTTCTCTATTCTAGCAACAAAAACTGGAAAACTCAAAGGCAAAACCTTTTATGCTAAATTTAACAAAATGTGTGCAAGACTACACAGAAAATGGAAAATATTGCTAAATGAAATTAAGAGAAAAACAAAATAAATGGAGAGAATATACTGTGTTCATGGGTTGGAAGATTCAGTATTGTTAATATGTCAGACCTCCTAAAAATGATCTAAAGCTTCAGTGCAATCCCAGTTAAAAATCTCAGCAGTCTCTCTAGTAGAAATTGAAAAGCTCACTCTAAAATTTAGAGAAGCAAAAGACCTAGAACATCCAAAGCAACTTTGAAAAAGAAAACATTTGGAGAACTCACACTGCCTGATTTTAAGACTTACTATAAAGCTACAGTTATCAAAATAGTGTGGTATTGGCATAAGGATAAACATATCGATCAGTGAACAGAATAGAGGCTTCAGAAATAAATCCACACATAAATGACCCATTTGATTTTTGACAACACACCAATGTAATTCAATGGGAGAAAGGATAGTTTTTCAACAAAAGATGCTGGGAAATTTGGACATCCATATGCAAAATTAAAGAGAAAGGAAAGAAAGAATAACAGGACCTCAACAATTACCTTGCATCAATTACAAATAGCAACTTAATGTGGATGATTGCCATAAATGTAAAACTTAAAACTATAGAAGTTCTAGAAGGAAACAGAAAAGAATCTTTGTAACTTTGGATTAAACAAATGATTCTTAGGAAACAAAAAGTCTGAATT